AAATATTAAAAGTTTAAGAAGCACTGCTCTAAAAGCAACACTTGAGTTCTTGGTGACTGACCTTATAACCTACCCTACTCTCCAAACTTCCACACGACTGCTTAAGTGAACTGAGCTTCCGCAGATTTAACGTGTATCAGCCTCTCTCGATGCCACTAACCTTTAGAGATAAAAACTCGACTGAAAAATTTAGACCAGAAGTTCACAAACATGACCACTCTGCTACCGCTGCCAACAAAATGTCAAAGAATATATAAAGGTTATCAAAAAATGTTTTCACTTCGGATTTCCTTTTCACTGGATCTATGTAACTGAAAAATGGAAGAAGATATTCAGGCGCACACATAGTTCAAATTGACAGATCAAAATAGAAAATTCTATTTAAAAAAGTTCCTTCGGATGAAAAAGCGAAAGGAGAATTGAGAAAAGAATCCTAAGAGTTTTTGTAACTTTTAAGAAATTTCTTTATAAGAAAAATTATTTTTCTTCGGAATTCATTTTAGGTCAGATATCTATTCGGGGACGGATATATATACTTTCTCTCATTATAGCAATTTTATTTTGATTAAGTTTGAATAATTTATGTATTTTGGTAAGTTATTTAAAGAAAGTTAAACGATGTGAGAGAGAGAGAGAGAGAAATGTCGCTTTCGCGTATGTTTTAATCTAATTTTTTAAAAAACAAATTAAAACATAAATTTATATTTGCATTTGGTATTGAGGACTTGATTGTATAAATAAAATAATTAGTATAGTTCAAGTTGAATGTACTGGAATCCAACAGATAGTTGTAAAGAAATTTGGGATATCATTTCAAATTAATATGATTTTTATAAAATTGGAATTCATTCATTTCTTCTGATTCTTTGTCAATTGATTAACACAACAATAAACGAAGAGCATCATTTCTCACATACAAAATTGTTAATTGCTGTTTTTCTTAAGCATTATTTTAACAAGAAGAAAGGAATTTCTTTCTGCGTAATTTTCGTGATTTATTTGCTCCCAATATTGCTAGCATATTTCGTATTAATAAATATAATTAATTTCGTGGCCGCCTAGCCAGTATGGTGGTTATGACACTCGTCTTGTGATCGAGTGAGCTCGGGTTCGAATCCCGAATAAGGCATGGATGTATTTACGGGAAAAGAAGTCGGACTTTCGCCTGAAATGGATTCCCGTCTCGAATGGAAAGCAGCGTACCCCCTTCAGTTCTATGCTGGGATCTTCGTTTGTAATAAAGTCTATATTCTTCTGTGTTTGCATTGTATGTTTCTGTTCATCTATCCCTCGTCTTTCGTATGTATCCCAGAAAGAAACAAACATCAACAGTAATTTCGTGATCATCATTTCATAGTCATTGATCCTCAACCATTGTGTCACCATATTTTTTTTAAAATTATTTATTATACTCTGAGAAAAAATAATAAAATCCGGAACCGAATTATTCGCTCATTCCATAGAAATAAATTAAGGGTATTTGTGGTATTTATTCTTTCGTGGATAGATGGGTATAAAAATATGATTGGGTTTAAATCTATTTCTGATAACGAATATATCGGTATATACGGGTAAAAAAAAATATGATTGGGTTTAAACCCATCTGTGATAACGAATATATCTGTATATCTGTATATATGGGTATAAAAAATATCATTGGGTTTAAACTCATTTGTGATAACGAATAAATCTGTATATATGGGTATAAAAAATATGATTGGATTTAAACCCATTTGTGACAACGAATATATCTGTATATAAGGGTAAAAAAAAATGAAGATTGAGTTTAAATCCATCTGTGATAACGAATATATCTGTCAATGAATTAACTTTGAATAAAGAGGAAAAAATAAATTCGCTCTGTAATAATCGAGATTTAATTTCAAAACATTCAGAAGAGTCAATTAATTCATTTGAGATTAAAATTACAGACGGTTATCACATAATAGCCTAAAAAAGCTTTAAAAATAATGTAACAATTTTCTACATTTTTTTTCTGTGAATTCGGATTTTCATCATTAAAAAAAATATAAAAATGAAAAAGGGATCGAATGGCAGTGGCATTATGATTTTTACGACTAAATATAAATAAAATAATCAAAACTCACAAAAGCTCAAATTTCGCGTTAAATGCATTCTTGTAATTAATTTGTAATTCATTACTCAAAAAATATTTTGTTGTTTGTCGTACATATTTTATTTAATATTTGAAATTAATATCATAAACCCCATTTTATATAGTGTATTATAGATAAGTAAAATTCTTTTAAACTTTTTTTATTTTCTTTTTTTCTTTTAAACTTTTTTATTTACTTTTAAACTTTTTTATTTTTTTATTAACTATTTTTATTTTATTTTTTCATAAAAAAATTTGAAACTGTTATAAGTGTATTACAATAAAACAAGTAATATAAAAAAAAATTTTAAGTCAATTTCTACTTTGAATGGATGAAAAGAAATTATTTTACTAAAGATTGAAAATTTGAAGATATATATATATATATATATATAGAGAGAGAGAGAGAGAGAGAGAGTGAACTATAATAATAGAGAGGAATTGAAAAAAAAAGAGCATGATTTGTCTGCATTGTTGTAACAATGCACACCCGGTTCGGCTAATTTAAATGAAAATCCGGTTTTCGGTGCCAACTTTTGTCATTGTTTTAACACAGTCACATTGTTACAACAAGAGACGAATCTAAGTTAGAGTCCAAAACCGTTAATTAATTCAATTTAATCAATGAATATATTTGAAAAAACTATATTAACATCAAATGTCCTCCAGTACTAGTTTAAAAAAATTTATTTGAACTTGATTGTATGAATAGAAAGTATTTTATCAACGATTGAAAATTTTTGAACAAGATATATATATATATATAGGGAGAGTGAGCTAATAGTGGGAAGTGAAAAAAAGTGGAGAGTCACTGCATTAATAGTGCATTAATTAGTCACTGAATTTTCATAAAAAAATTACACGCACATAAAAAAATAAATATTTTCCCTTAAACAGACAGTTTTCAGAAAAGATACATTTAAATGAATAATATTTTTAAATGTAAATAAAGCACTGTCTCAAAGGAAAATCTAACCGATAGTTTTTCATCAAAAAAGAAAATTTTGCTACAACAATAATTAAAAATATAGATTCAAAACTTTCATTTTTACAATGTTATTGCTCATACACCAATTCTTTTTATACTACTACAAGTTAACTTTTACCGTGAATATTTTAAAAGGACTAAGTATTTATTGATCAATTAATTTCCTTTGAGATAGTGAGCACAAGCTAAGGCTAAGCTTGATTACTTTGTTGCCTAGGTTACCGCTAAGCTAATAAAATCAGTCTGGAAATAACGAAAAAGAGCCATGACAGAATTCCTAACCCAGTTTGGTTTTTTTATTCCTTTGCTATTATCCTCTTAATGGCTTTATCAAAAGTTAAAAAGTATATAAAGGAGATTTTTAGCACTGTTTTCTTCGTCAGTGGACAAGTGGGAATTTTGTAATCAGATTAGTATTGCCCATAGCATTCATTGGAGTCGTTAAGTATTTAGCCTCTTATGTATCATTGAACATACCTTTTTTTCAGGAATGAAATGTCAGAAATGATTTAATTATTGTCTTCTTTCTTCCCCTCTTCTCTTGTGATAGCACCTTTTAATGTTTTATGAGCCTTAAGAAATTGCTTAGAAGTTTATAAAAGCGCTTGTATAAATAATCTTAAAAGTCCCTTCCTGTTCAATTAAATATTTTGATGTATTGTTTCCGAAAGTGTAATTAATGAATGTCTTCACTTATCTCAATTAATTAAGTGTTTGAAAATATATTCTTTATTTTAAAAGCTTTTAAGCCATTTTTATTTGCTGATGAAAGATGCATTGAAATGCTTTGATTGAAAGTATAAAGCATTTTTGCGAAAATCCGGGACATTAATTTAAATTAAATTAAAATTAAAATATCTTTTAAAAGTCAACTGAACTTTTCGTACTTATTTATTCTTCATTCAGTGGAAAGTACTTGATAAGTGTAATTTTTCACATTTTAGCATGAAAGCTTAGTTAAACTTAAATTTAAAAGATAACCGTAACAAATTTCAAGGTCTTTAGCAGTCTTTCCTATATTTAATTAGATTTGAATCTAGAATCATACTAATTCGTGAAAACGGATATATACAAACACTATAATGACAAAATATACAAAGATCTTCAAATTTTAAAGTACAAATGAGTAACTTCTGAAAAAACAATCAATATAAAAATTAAAAAAAATCAAAGTCAATTTCTACTTAGTTCAACAAAGAAAATTTTTTATTTTAGTTAATTAAATTTAATTAATGAATTAATATTTGAAAAAACTGTATTAACATCAAACCACTACAAGTTTAAAAAAATGTGTTTGAACTTGAGTGGATGAATAAAAAAATAATTATTTGAAGCCAAGAAAAGATTCGTTAGAAAAACCTACTGGCGCCATCTGCTGCAGCTAGCTCTAATTTCGTCAGAAAATAACGCAGATTAAATTTAAAATTAAAAAATAAAATTTAATAAATGATTTAATACTTGAAAAAACTGTTTTTTCATCACGTGTCATCCACTACAAGTTTAAAAAAATGTATCTGAGCTTGAGTAGAAATATTAAGTATATAATTAAGGATTTTGCAACAATAATAAAAAGTATAATGTAACGTAAAAAGTATTTTATTAACGATTGAAAATTTGAATAAGATATATATATAAATAAATATATATATATATAGGGAGATGGTGAACTAATAGTAGGAATTGAAAAACTTAGATAAATTAATGAAATTCGAATAGCATCTTCTTTATATGCAAATACATTGCACACAAATCAATTAGTTATTAATTTGTATAATCTTAATTTTTAAATCAGTCCCATGTTTTAAAAATGAATAATCTCAAATTTCCTGAAAAATAGGGTTTAACCAGTTTCACGGTAAGTCAACCTTCCCTTTTTAAAATTACGATATGAAATCCTATGAATTATAAATGGATAGATGTTCTAAATTCTCTATTAATAAAAATGTAACATACCTAAACATGCATTCGAAAAGACGTAAATTGTGCACGAATCAAAGAACTTAAGCAAATTATTACGAGATTCAAGGATCTAAATATATATAATCAAAGTTTTAAAAAATAATGGCCAAACTTTAACATAAGTAATACGCATGAAACTAATTTTATTAAAATGTAATCTGTATATTGTTGGCCATATAAACCACTCACAGACATAAAAACGTGAAGTGTTATTTGAAATCAATTAAGGCTAATTGAATTTATATTTGTTTTTAATTCGTTGTAATTTTGAAGGTTTTTTCACTTAATATATAAGTTATCTTTCTGTTTTAGAGTCAAATATTTTTATCGAATTGTTTTTAATGTTAAATGGATTTTATTAAAATTTCAATAATTACATAACTTACTTAATCTGACAATTTAATTTTAATATGATTTCCAAAATATTAATCAGATATATTGTTCTTAATTTCTTAAAATAGCTATCTTCGTGATTGCGATTGAATTAATAAATACAGGGTGAGTACAAATGATATATATATATAGTAATATAAAATAAAAGTGAAGAAGTACTAGAACCTACAGTGCTAAAGCAGGAAGAAATTGGAATTCACCAGATACAACAAATGTAGATACAAAAAAGTCTTTGGACTAAACTGGAGACCTATTATGATTTCTAAAGCTGTCGCTGAATTAGGCCATCGAATTAGGGTTTACAATGCTTTATGGATCCAACCTTTCCCGTACAGCAGAAACTTTCGACATAATAGGGGAAAAAAACCAAGTTAAAAAGTTAAGCCTAATACAACATGTGGAAGAAAAACTTGATAATATATTAAAATGAAGCTAAGAAAAGAGAACAATAATGAATGTCTCAAGGAGAGGAATAATAATAATAAAATTTAAAAAAACTTACGTGTAAGATAATTACTGGAGATCGAAAATTCAACCTTCCACAGTAAACACCCAACGCGAAATAACTTAAAAGAATTGAAACGACTATTCGAGAAGGAAAAATCGTGGTGTCACCTGGATATTTATTTTGCAATTAAACAAACAACTAAGATTTTTTTTTAAAAATAAACTA